AAATGGAGGAAAATATACTAAAATGGCTTGTGTGTAGCATAATGTAGACTTTGCATGTTTTTACATATGTGAAGTTCATAATGATGTGAATGACTATAAATTATGTTATTATTAAGGGATACAAAAAGACAAGATTTCACTAAACTCCCCCTTTTCCACTTATCTTCTAATACGTTTACAGTAAAGTAAGCACATTCATTAGTAAGAAAAATAAATATTTTTTTCAAGGGAAAGAAGGTGCCAATTTGTCCACTGCAAAGAAGAGGCTCTGAACACATTTCATCTTAGATCTTCAATGACACCCAAACTCAAGAAACAGGTTGATACGTCTGCAACTTTGTTTCAGAAAGTTGTGAAAAATCTTAAAACTATAATATACTTTCACAATCTTCACTATGAATAGTCTGTATATGGCCCAGTATCTTTGCAAAAGACATAACTCTTGCTATTTAAGTTGCATTCAATTATAAATCTGGTTGTTCAGTTCTCCTCTATCATATTGTGGAAAAATTAACCTAGAGAGAGAGCTAATAGTCATGGCCTTCAGAATTTAAGTTTTCTTCTTCTAGCTGAAAATTTATTTCTCAAAATTCAGATATTATAAAGTTTAGAAAGATATTAACTCCTCATGTATAACTGATTTTTTAAAAAACTGGTTTCTATCTTGAAGTTTCAAAATGGGATTTTTAAAAAATTAATTATTCAGTGAAATTTGCACTTCTAGGGCAAGATCGTACATTGGTGATGAGGATGAGAGAGGAGGGTCTGAAGGAATACTTGAAAGATCCATTGCCTAGTCCAGTTGCCTAGGTCATATATATATAGAGGAGTTTATGCAAAAAAATGTGAACTGGCTCACAAATGCACAAAAATTCCTTGTATAAGATCAATGAACTGAAACTTATTCAAATTAAAAGATTTTTTACTGGGTCTACTAAATAGAAAGCTTGACTTTCAAAGCAGAAATGAGCTAAGAAAAATTGAGTTTGTCTACTGGCTGTTATTTAATTGGAGTTTCTGCAAAGCCCAACTTACATAAGTAGTGGAATGCATAGAAATAATACTTGGTGGGTTGCCACCTTGGTCTTTCAAACTGGTAATTAAGGCACTAGCAAAAATCTTATACAGATATAAAATGTTCATCTCATAATGAGCAGGAAATGTTATACTTCTCTGAATGAATATTCTGTTTCTGTTTTATTTTTAAATGTAAATTTTAAGGTTGAATACAGGCCATTTTTAAACGGGAAAAGAGAGTGACTTGAAATCCCCCAAATCTAGGCAGATAGACTTTTCAGAGAAAGTAAAAATAATTCTTCAAATTTTAGTGTCTTCAAGTTTGCATAGTATATAATATTCGAAATTGGAAAACTAAATCAGATTTAAGAATGCTTACAATTGAAAAAGCAATATGCACAAAAACATGAGGAAGAAAGATGCAACTTGAGCCACTGGAAGTTTGCATTACAAGGAAACCTAATTTGTAACAGATTTGTTTGATCTGATACAAAGGTACAGGAATATGCTACAACATTAGGAAGAAATCCAAAAAGCTCACTTAACCCTATTTGAAAATAGTATGTCTATAACAATATCTACAGTAAATGTTCTATGATTCAAATACAATTTAGATATAGCTGAAACAAAGTCTTTCATTTCACCTAATGTGTTCTGAAAAGCAGCTTCATCCATGTCTTTAGTGTACATAGAAAAGTGTGTGTGGATCATTTGTGCATGAAGCAGTGCAAGTTGCAATTTCATTACAAGGGAAATCTTCTTGGCTGAGATTTGACAAAGTAGTCTGACAATATTATTCAACTAGCGTCATGTGGCCTAACTGAAATCTGGCAAATTGCTATCAACTTTTCAGAATAATGAGTACTGAGATACTCAGAACACATGACCCCTGCATTTTATAACAATTAGAGGAAATTAAAAAGTTGATTAACTGAGGCTGTTGGGCATATGCAGTAGAGGATGTTCATTTACAGTATGCAAGATGAAGAAGCTCTCTCTCTACCCCCCTCTCGTGTGTGTGTGTGTGTGTGTGTGTGTGTGTGTGAGAGAGAGAGAGAGAGAGAGAGAGAGAGAAACGACATATAAGGCATTCTACAGTTGTACTGACCAGATGCGTGTGTCTTGTAATACATCTTGCCTTTTAGATTTAAACATTTCTTGCAACTTGATTTGTTTTTAAATGAAATATTAAAAATCTATTTTAGTGAAATATGTATTTATATACCAAAAATCCAGTGTTTTTGTTATAGTAAAAAATGGAACTCACTCTATTTTCTATTAATTATTATAAAACAATCCCTGATAGTATTAGCATCTATGTATTTAGCTCATTTAGAAGAAACTTGTACTACCAAGCAAAATGCTTCATTCACACTCAAACAGCATTTAGATTTTTCTGATACATATTTTTGAAAGCTACCTTTTAAAAAATATGTTATTAATAATATGAACTGCAAAATTTTACATTACTGAAATTTAACTGATGAATGAAGCAAATTGTTAGAAATTAAATAGATCTTTTTACAAGCACAATCTTTAAAACTACCATAAAATATGGAATGGTTCAAGGCTTGAAATATTTTTTTCAAATAAATTAAATCAAAACAAATAAATACAAAAACTACACAATGTGTATGAGAAAGCTGAAAGCTGTAAAAGTATAATACCCCTATCTGCTATTTAAAGAAAATAGGCTAAGTAAAGCTTTTAAACAGATGTATTTATATTTAAGTTGAACTTTTTACTACTTTTTGCTGCTTTTGGTATTTAGTCTATTGGGCAAAAACAAGTTTCCAACCTGGTTTTGAGCTGATACAAGTGTCTGTTTTTGTGTGTGTTCCCTTTCCAAACCATCCATTTCCTTTTGAGAAACATTTTGACATAATGAATTAGCTCTGAAAATGTTACATAAGCTTCAAAACCAATGTATCTCAGAAAATATGTGTGATGTTCTATGATCTGAATCAAATATTGTAAATGTTCAAACGTGCTCATTCAACATGCCAAAACTAACTATAGACACCATGTGAAAAATTGGCATGAGCTGACTTTTTATCTTCCAAAACTGTATATCTAATTAAGTTGTGGTTTGCAGTTGCATCTTTCTACTCATAAGAATGGTGATCAATTGGATAAATCTATCTACACAATTCTTTTTCTTCCATGCTTTTTTTTAGAACAAACAAAATTCACAAAATTTCATTCCACAACATTAAAAAATGGGATGCTTTTTTAAACTCTGAAAAGTGGAAATTAAATTGTGCAAACTCTATATAGTAATACTGCTGGTTATAAAGATGTTCCCATGAAACTTCCTGTGTCATTTATTGGCAGATGTATAAACTAAGCAAGTCAAGAACATGCAAGTCTCCTTTTATAACAAATGCCACTGTAAGGTCAGAACTGAGTATTAATTCCCCAAGAATCCAGAATTTAACTTCTTGGCAGGAAGAAAAGAAATAGATATTAAAATTGGATAATTTTAAAATATGTTCTTATTTTTTTCATTGTACTTTGAACAAAACTTTTATGTGAACCTTATTATTTCCTGCTGTGGACAGCTGCCATTCCTGCCTATCTATTAGCAGGAAAAAGCCATTTAGAAAACATATCCTTTAGCTACATGAACCCATGATATTCTACTCACACATGAATTTGAGGAGTTACTCTTTATAACTTCAGTCTATATTTTCTTATAAGCTGTACTATAGCACTGATGGAGTTGATTTCAACTGACCTTGTTTTCTTTTGATCAAAATTATTGTGAAGACTCTGAAATTGTCTAGTTTAAAGTATCATGCTATCATACTAACACAGACAAATTTTCAGAGCATGAGTTTCTTTACAAATTAACTCATGTGGTGGTAAGTTGTTTTTTTTTAAAAGAAATATGTGAAATGGTAACCTATATTTTCTTACAGTAATCTAAACCTACTTGTAATTAATCCATCAGTGGCTTATCTTTATACTGGCAGATTTTTCGGATTATGTAGGAGGTGACTTTTGCAAACTATACAAAAATAAGATTCCAGCTCTGACATAAAAGAAATGAAAAACTTCTAATCCTAATCATGTGCTTCTTTTACAAGAAGGAAAATATAAGGTTTTCATCTATAAAACAATAGTTAATAAAGAAGATTTTCAGGGGTAAATGTGCTTGTGGAAAGTGTATAATGTGTATCAAAACTTGTTTCTTGGAGAAATGAGGGTGTCTTGTCTGAAAATATGTTGAAATTAAATTCTCAGTTCTGACCTCCTGATGTTTCCCAGAACCTCCTTGAAACTGACAACCAAAAAAAGAATGAATATGATATTGGCCGTTGTGTCACTTGCAGAAAAGAAAAACCTCACGTAGTATCAAATTCTGCAAAGTCAGTGCTTTGTAAAAAGAAGATAAATTTGCATATATTACAGTTGTTACATTCTAAGCTAAATTAATTATATTGTGCCCCCAATTAGCTGAGCACAAGAGCTAATACAGAGGGACACAGATATAAGCTGCATATTTTTCAAGAACACACAGGCTATCCCCTTACTCAAACACCCCTTGAAACACCCTTAAGTTTCAGATGTACAGATTTTACAACAAGAAAAACTGCAAAAAGCAGGGCTTTAAAATTAAAATGTAACAAAGTAAACACAAATACAAACTAGCTACAACCTACTTAACCTAAACACAGCACTGTCAGAGGTTTCACACACATACACACACACACAAATTTGGTGTTTCATGTTGGATAACCTTTCATTCTTTAAGGCAGTGGTTTCCACAAGTCAGTTCAGAGAATATTGAGTAGCAGCAAGCCTCATGGTAGTTCATGTCACATTCAATTCCCTGAAATCTTAGTGCTTCTATTCAGAACTTCCATTTTCTTCCTATTCAGAAGTACAGCTGGCATGCCTTCAACAGGACTTCTCAAACCATGAAATAGCATTCAAAAGTGGATGGATCAAATTCATGGATCAAATTCTGCAGTAGCTGGTCACTCAAAAGTCATCAAATTGGCAGGAACCTATCAACAGAAGAAATAATTTTGTAAAACAAATTAGAGGTCAAGTTTAGAAATTAAGCCCTAGTTTCCTGTTATGTAATCAAATAGAGACAAGATTGAGATTTATATGCTGCTTCCAACTGTGCTAAATTTGTAGATATACCACTTTTTTCAAGAATGGTTTGAGAATTAGGCAGGATAAGTAACTAACCATTGGTTCTTGCTTATTCTCAAACTACTCTTTTAAAAACAAATTATAGTTCTCATAGTTAAAACCAAAAACAGATGTTTCCAATCTTTTTCCATTAGTGTAAAAAAGAGGGGAGGTGAACAAGAGAACCCTTGAATGAAGACCTAATGGTTCTTATTTTGTTTGTCATAAAACTATACTCAGATTGCTCTTCAAAGGCTCCTCAGCCAGGCTATGGGAGAAATCAATCCACAGAATCCAATCCTGGACTTGATATGCATGAACATTTTTTATTATGATGTGGAAGATTATTAAACTGGGGGGAATATTTCAGATGTAAATTTGGGAGACTAAGGAGTCAAACTGAAAATAATTGATGGAAACATTTCTTTCAAAAATAAAATGTACATATACTGTATGTATATGATAGATAGAGAATATTTGGCAATAGTATATGCAAAAAGGGAATTTTGTGAATTAAGTAAATCACAAGTTGAATGCTAGAAGATGATGTGGCTGTAGAAAAGGAAATATAATCTTAGGCTGCATGAATACAGTAAGGTAATTTCCAAATAGTAGGATATTATAGTTGTACTCTATTCCTTTCTAATCAGACCATTATACCCAATGTTTAGTTATGGACTCTCTATTTAAATAAGGAAAGCTTTCAGAGAAGGGCAGCAAAGATCAGTAGACTGGAAACTATGTTGAGGAGAGACTGAGAGAACTTGATAGTTTTATTGTTAAGAGAACATTAAGGGGATATGATAAACTGACTCAGGTATTTTAAGATATTTCATACAGAATTAAGCCATAGCCTGTTATCCATCATCCTATTATTCAGGTCATAAGACAGCTCTTTTAAATTATAGGAAGGCAGACTCTAGTTGAATATTAGGAAAATATTCCTGATAGTAAGAGCAATTCAAAAGTGGAAACAGTTATCCATGGAGGTAATGAATTTCTCTTTACTGGATGTGTTTAGGCGGAAGCTGTATATCTCTGTTGGGAAAGATTTAGTCTGGATTCCTACAATTATGCTTCTTTTAATTAAGACAGTGAAAGAGGCAACCAGGTCAATATGATTTCAGAAACTGCTCCAGCTGCATCATCCTATCCATCCTGCACAGAACCATTATTACCAAATATTCTGTGGAAGAGATCTCCAAAAATGGAGTCCAAAGCTTGCTCCATTTGGACTATTCTATTTCCCACAGAGCCATGATTCTTATTTATTTATTAGGTATTTGAATCTTCCCAGATTTTAGGTGGCTTACAACAATTAAAAATTAAAACACTGATAATGGAATATAAATAATATGAAACATTCACCTCACTAGAGACAATGAATATACAAAATAAATGTAAATAGAGATAATCTATGGAATGTCAAATAGCTTCTTTTTTTTTTTTCCAAGTATAAATTTTTATTATTTTTCATCATAAAAAAAAAACACATCACAAGTACATCACAATGCTATAATAAAAGCCCCACCCCCCACCCCCCGGACTTCCCAAACCTAATCCCAGGATACTATTCAACTAAAAGTAAACTACTATTAATATCCCTAACTCCACAAAATATTATTCTACATAAGTAGGTGAAATATGTAAAAAAAGAAAAAAAAACAGGTTATCTAAAAACCTAGATTATATTCCACCATTCTATGCTTTTTTTGAATATAAACAATCCATCTTCTCCATGTTAATAAAAATTGTTCATTTGAATGATTCTTCAGATAAGCCGAAATTTTTGCCATTTCAGCAAGATGCGAAACCTTCAATCTCCAGTCCTCCATTGTAGGGGAGGACTTCCGGTGGCAGGCGACTTCGCTGGACGCAGCTGTTTGCTGCTCCCGCCTGTTTCCGCGTAAAAGCCGTTTTGACAGCCTGCATCAGCTGTCAAACGGCTTGATACCTTTCCCCTGGGCATAGGGGGATAGGTGAGCTGCCCGAGGTAGGAGTTGAGTTCCCGAGTCGTCCCTTGTGGACGATGTAGGTGAGA